AAGTAAAAATATCCTCTTTCCTTCTTGCTTTTTCAAATAATTATGCGAAAAAAGCATTTACAGCTTTTAAAACCTGAAAAACGCATATGTGCGATATTATCGTCATGCGATGATTTGTAGGTGCTTTATTTTTTACCACTATATTTTCGACGACGGGATTTTTAAACTGCGAAATTTTTGAACCGCTTTATTTTCGATGACCATATTTTGTAGCACGATGTTTTGGAACTGCGTTGTTTTCTCTTTGCTTTTTATTCCTCCCACAATGTTTTCTACCACGATGTTTTCGTCTTGCCTTTTTGTCTTCGCGATGTTTTCGGCGGAGACCACTATTGAGTAATGCTTCATTATTAGTAGTCTTCATTTTTACTATTTATATATCAAAATATTAATTTATATTTTATTTAATATGAAACAAATAGCTTCGTCGTAAAAATTTCTGACAGAATAATTTAATTACTGTCGATTGTTACGAGATTCTGGAATATAATTGTTTGAAATAGAGCAAAGTCTTAATATCTTCTTCTTCCTTCCCCTTTTTTGTGTGTGTGAGAGAAAGAGGAAATATTGTAAACTGCGTAAATAAAGTACATTTTAAACATTAATTTCTTTCAGATGTGTTAAAGCCAAAACCATAAATCCGTTAAAACTATATTCACTGCCAATTTTTTTCTTTTTTTGCTAAACATGCTGACTTACCGGAAAAGGATAAAGTGCTTTTTTTTTCTTTACATTTTGTCATCTGTTGTAAAAACCTCCTTATTTATCTGTTGGGTAATCGTTTTAGCTACCCTTATGGTATTTTGTCTATTTAAAGATAGATTTTCTCTGGTGAAAACTTTTACTGTAATAAAGAATGGCTTGATAAAGAGGGAAGACAAATAGGAATAAAAAAATCCCATTTCTTAATAAAGCGGATCTTAGGAACGAAAATTCTTTCTTCTGTATGCTCAACATTAAAGACACAGAAAACAATCGTCATACGCTATTTTACTTTTCCTTTATTTTTTCTGGAAAAAAAAAAAAAAAAAAAAAAGGAAGAGGAAAAGTGCTTTTAAAAGACGGAATCTTAAAGAGTTCTATTGGATATTCTATTAAGAGCAATCGTAGATTCGTTCTAATCAATCATTTCGAGTTGTCCTTCGGCAGCACAATTTACTAAAGAGATTAAAAAGGGTTAATGTTATTTCAGTGAAACAAACATCAATTAAAATTCGGGATGGTTAGCTCAGTTAGAGTCATTTGAAAGTAAAATGTTCAGCAAAATTGTGCAAAAAATTTTTAAATTCAAGCACTAAACATATTAGCTAATTTGCAGCTGAATGTGTCTCTTTAAAAATGCAAAATTAATTTTAAAATGTAAATTTCATAGCTTTCTGCACAACCGTTAGTCTTTTTTAATTGAATCTGTTTGGTCTGTTTTAAATTAATCTATTCACAAATTTTCTCTACATTGAAACAAAAAGGGTCCCCCCCAGGGGTCGACGGAAACTCGAAGCTACTGGGCTAGGATCTGGTCCTAGGCAGTCTCGGGCACGGGGTATAAAATTTATGAACTTGGTGGTTCTGAAGGCTCTGGGAAAGGTTTATTGGCCGGCCTCGGGTTGGCACGTCTACGCGCGGCGTGGTACTAGTAGCCCGGGGGTCTCCCCCCGGTTCGCTGGGTATGTCCCGTTGCGACGGGCTCGCCCAAGCGACTGGTAGGAGCATTAGACGACCGGTGCTGGCCTGGTGTCTTTCCAGGTGGTCCCGGGTTCGCGGGTAGTCCCGCTGCGACGGGCTCGCCCAAGCGACTGGTAGAGCATTAGCGACCGGTGCGCCTGGTGTCTTATCCAGGTGGTGCGCTGCTCCCTTGGAGGGTAATAGTGGAGGTTGAAAATCACGACAAGGGGAGTAATTAGTGTAATTTCCGAGAGAACCCAATGTATTTGAAGTCCTGGGACTGTTTTATTTTCTGATGACTTTAAGTGTTCGTAAACCGGTTGCCAGTGACCACCCGGGGGTGCGGAATGTATTTTTGGGGGGTGCGGGAGAAGCCCCTACCTAACCATAAAAATTATTAAATATCATTTATTAAATTTCTTATAATAAAATATTTGAAATCTGCAATAGTGTCCCCAATATTGAAGCTCATAAAAATTGGTAGCACCTAGCTCACTTATCGGCAAAAGACACAGGAAAGAGCCGGTGCCGATGGGCGTATACACTACGCTACGAAAAGGCATGAAACGCTACAAACGAACGCGAACAGGCAGCTAGGTGACGGAGAAAAGAAAAAAAAACTTTGTGGGAATACAAGCGGAGAACGTTATCCCAGCTTGCGCATGCGCTGAGTTCAATATGTGCTACTCCAATGGAATCTACGGATTCACAGATTTGTATCTGCATCTACTGCGCCTGTGTTAGGTTGAGTCAAGTTGAGTCAACTATTGTGTCTGCGACATGTGTATTGTGTATTCTGACTTGTCCAGAAACCTCTTGAGACTAATACATTCTTAATTGCCCGTTCAAGCCGAATAGGATTCAGTGATATTACAAACGTAAGAACATTATATATATTATATTACATTATTTCTAAATAATTAAATCGATTATAGTGAACCCCACTATGTCAAAAAAAACGACAATGGAACGATAAGTATGCCGGTTATGGATTTACCTGCACAACCGAAAAAGATGGCACGCAACGACGGCAATGCATCTTGTGTTCCAAATATTTTTTCAAACAGCAATCTCAAACCATCAAAGTTATTAGAGCATTTCAACAATCTGCATGGTGGCGAAAAAGCGCATAGCATGAACAGCTTGAAGTCAAAGAAGGCTCGGTTTGATACCAGTGGAACTATCCTAAAATTGTGCGGACCAGCAATTCAAAAACCTTTATTAGAAGCGCCATATCAAGTGGCATATTTATGTGAAAAAAAAAAGAAAAAAAAGAAAAAAAGAAACCTCACACGATTGCTGAAGAGTTGATTAAACCGTCTGCTTTAATTATTGCTAAAACAGTTTTAGATTCGGAAGCACATAAAAAAATCCAACAGATTCCATTATCGAATGATATTATACGATCGCGAATACAAGATCTCAGTGAAGATATTTTAATGCAAGTAATTGAAGACATAAAAATCAGTCCACTAAAAATAAGCATGCAACTGGATGAGTCAACTGATGTTGATAATTGTAGCCAACTTTTGGTATTTGTCAGGTATGTGAAGGAAAAAGAGGTGATAGAAGAATTTCTATTTTGTGAGCCACTGGAGGTGAATACGAGAGGAATTGATGTTTTCAATCGCATCAAAGATATTTTTACTAAATATCAATTACCAATGAATGTGATTGGCTGAATATGCACTGGTGGAGCCCCAGCAATGTTAGACAAAAATTCAGGATTTTTTTTCATACATGAAAAGAGAATTACCGGAAGTTATAATAACGCATTGCATGTTGCATCGTCATGCACTTGCGTCGAAAGCACTGCCAGAAAGTTTAAAACAACATCTAACTACAGCAGTAAATGTAGTAAAATACATCCGAGGGCGAGCGCTTAATCATCGCATTTTTCGTGCATTTTGCGAAGAAATCGGTGCTGATCATACCGTGCTCCTATATCACACCGAAATACGATGGTTATCTAAGGGTCGCATGCTTAACAGAGTTTTTGAATTGCGTGAGGAAATTATTCAATTACTGACTAGTCAAAACTGTTATTTAGTAAAAGATTTTGAGAGTAATGATGCAATGCTGAGGCTGGCCTACTTAGCAGACATATTTAGCCATTTAAATGAATTGAATCTATCAATGCAAGGATTTGGTATAAATATAATAATATCTAGTGAAAAATTATCTTCATTTATCGCAAAATTAGAAATTTGGATACGTCGAGTAGAAAAGGGGAATTTTGCAAACTTTCCCTTGCTTGATTCTGTTATTGCGAAAAATGAAAAGAATACAATTATACCCGACATTGTAATACATTTGAGACGATTGAGCGAATCATTCAATGGATATTTTTCTACCGGAAATATTACCAAAACTCAGAGATGGATACTGGATCCATTTCTATTTGACTTAAATTTGATGGATGATAGTGATCTGAAAAAAGATCAACTTATTGAAATGCGAGCAAGTGGACATGTTCAAATGGAATTCGAACAATTAGAATTGCAACAATTCTGGTGTTCACAGTTACAACGTTATCCAGAGTTGGCGAACGGAGCACTGCAGTTACTCTTACCCTTTGCTACCACCTACTTGTGCGAAATGGGATTTTCATCGCTTTTGCATATAAAAACTAAAGCGAGAAATCGCTTAAATGCAAGTGATGACTTACGCGTATGTCTTTCAAAAAAGGAACCTCGCTTCGCCAGTATAATAATGAACAAACAACAACAGACTAGTCATTAATAAAAATAATATTGTTTTGTATTTATATAAAATGTACAATGTTTTTCAATAAACAATAAGTTTCGCAAAAAATGTATTTTTCTAGACTAAAAAAATTAAAACACATTTTTCAATGGGGTGCGGAGATGTATTTTCAGATTCAATGGGGTGCGACTCGCTAGAAAGGTTAAGAAACACTGCCCTTTATACAGAGAATAAATTTAAATTAAAACATCTAAAGAAACAGAGCAGAGAGAAACGCATAAATATAAAAGTATTTTCAAGCGAGAAGCCTGTGTCCAGTTTTTCCATTTAATCATAATGTAACTGACGTTATTCATAGCTTACTGGAATGTTCTCATATGAATATCCCAGCATGTTTCATGCAAATTTCCCATTTGTTGCATGCCATGTTAGCTATTTGTATGGTGAACAATGTAGAAAATTAAAAAGTGATAAAATTATTTTCTTCAGATCACTTATTAAAATTGATTAAGAAAGTATGTAAATAAAACTGGAAAAAACTTTTTAAAAAATGTTATCTGTGTTTTAATTTTTTCCCCTTTTTTTTAATTCTGCTACAAAAAATTAATGTATTGAATTCTCTTCCAGAGGTGAAACTAAAATGTGTGTGCGACTCGTGCGAGAACAATCGCACATGTGTGACAGATGGCTTATGTTACACCAGCGTACACAAAGAAAGCGATGGGACGATATCAAAAATGTACAGGTACTGTGTGTTTTACTTTTCCAAGAATTATTTGTATTATTTGAATTAATACTTGTGATGTCTGTAAGTTTAAGAAAATCTTAGCTTAATATAAAGGGTGAGCATAAAATCTTTCCATTTAAAAACAATTTCGTTTGGGAATGGCTTTATGGCCACCCTGTATATTACAATAATGCTAATTTTTTGGGTGGTATATATGCGTGACAGTGTCATTGTGGGAAAAATAGCCTTTTCTATTTCTACTTTCTGAAACTTATCATAATGTTTTTTTAATGCAGATATACCCTGCTTATGTATATTCACTTCACCATTTTTCACCACCATTTAGGCGAAAACATTAAATTAACTAATTCCTTGTTCTGTTTATTGAAATGAGTACGAAGAAAATTTTGCTTTTGCGAAGAAATGTAAAAAAAATGTATTGTTCAGCATTTGTTTTGTATTCTAATTGTAAAAAAGTATAACCATTTAACATTAATGATAATTTGTTTTATCCAAATGCTAATATTTATAATATGTTGCTGTTTAAAAGCATAACTGTTATCCTGAGCATGATATTCAACATTTGCATTATATTTATTTATCATATAATTGCATTATATTTATTTATCAAGTGCTCACGAATTGAAGTAAACATATCATATCTTTTGAAACACTTTAGGTTAGAAATTCATAATTACTTTTATCTCGTCTCATTTGTATGTTTTCTAAACTCTGTTTACTTAAACATATACCTACTAGCGGAAGTACCCGATGTTAAGTTAGATTGAGAGTAATGTATCTATCAACAAAGAGAACATACCGCTATAATCCATCTCTAATAGCAATGCAAAAAATACGATTCATAGTCATACATTTTTCATTCGGATGCGATATGGAACCCAACAAAATTTCGATAGAAAAATAAGCTAATTCTCGCTGATTATATAAGCAACAGCAGCACACAGTTTTTAATTATTTCCGTCTTTCTAATCAGTCGTAAAAGCTCAAGTTCCATGCAATATTTCACCTACACTAAATATTAGTCGATTAAATGTGGCAAAACATTCATCAGAAATCAATAATGGAACAAACAAGCATTCTTCTTTATATGTATAGATTTTGTAAAACATAAAAAATTTTTGATTAACAAACTCTATGATTTGAAAGCGAGGAGTAGCAATACGTTTTGAAGCATTTTTATCTCCAGCGTGCCAAAATGTTGTCGCTCAAAAGAATGATTGCAAAAATTAGCGCTTTCAGAGTTTTTAATTAATATTTCGGCTGATTAAAGTCGTACGAAGATGAGAATAGTCAAAATAGCTTCCCATAAATTTTTGGATTTGGAAATGATGTATTTTATGTTTAACAATTCAATTTTCATTTCATCGTAAAACTTAGATATTTATATGTCGTAAAACTTAGATATTTTTTATTGACAATCTCTAGGATTTGAAAGCGAGCAGTGGCAACAACTTTCGAAATAAAGCATATTTTCATCTCCAGCTTACGAGGCTGTTGCCACTCGGGGAAAAATTATTGTTTTTCCGAGTTTTCTATTAATATCCCTGATTTTAACTACTTTTTTTTTCCGAAAAAAAGCGTACGTCGGCCTTTTCAAGAACCCAGGAAAAAATTGTAGAAAGTTTGGTGACGATAGCTATAATAGTGACTGAGTTGCTCGCGAACAAACACACACGCAGACTTTCTTCTTTATATGTATAGATATACGCATAATGTGTTTTTATAATTAAGTTTGTATTCAGTTCCGTAATTCAGAAATAATTCAGAAATAAATTCAGAAATATTTCAGAAATATTTCGTAATTCAGAAATAAATTCTATGAAAGAAAGGTATATAGTTTTTTTATCTAATAATCTTAACGTAAACGATTGTTAAATTGGTAAAGAGAAACTTGTGTTCTTTCTCTAATTGTTCTAATTTTCTGAATAGTTTTTAAATGGACATTCTAACTGCAAAAAACGCGAGAACTTCCTTGCGTAACATTTTAATGGCCGGTTGCCAACCCGAAGAGTATAATTTTTCTTCTTGCAGTTTAAATTAATATATCAGTTTGTCATTAATTTATTAAGCTGATAATTTAACACTTGAACCCATAAACCTGTTTTTCCGCTACTTTCTAAAACTAGTTATGATATTGCGTTCTTTAAAAATGATAGGAAAAATATTTTTTCTTTCCATTTATTTAACGACGAAATGTGACGATACAAAGGGAGTGTAAATATGTGTGTCTGGTTGCTGAAACATCTATTAAAATGACTTAAGATTTTTTTTTTCGTTCAGAATGTTTGTATCACCCATGCAATAATTGAATTTTTCAGACAGACGTTTGCGATAAAATGTATATGTATTTGCTGGGTGCGCAGTTGAGCAAATATACCATCTAGAGTTCTTAAAAACTTTTGACAGTAAAAATGTTTCATTTGTGGTAGAACGGATATGATCACCGAATGCTTTGATTTTTTTTATCTACCTATCTACATATATAAAGAAAAATGTCTGCCTGTGTGTTTGTTTGTTCGCGATTAACTCAGTCACTACTATAGCTATGATCACCAAATTTTCTACAATTCTTTTCTGGGTCCTGGGAAAGGTCGACATCCACTTTTTTTTCCAAAAAAGGCAACTGAAATCAGAGATATTAATTAATAACTCTGAAACCCCTAATATACGCCCTCATTTTTCCGAGTGGCAACAGTTTTGCATGCTGGAGATAAAAGTCTGCTGTATTTCCAGAAGAGTTGCCACTGCTGGCTTTCAAATCGTAGAGTTTGCTAATAAAAAAATTTCTTAAGTTTTACGATGAAAGAAAAAATAACATTGCCGAACATTAAATACATCATTCGTGATTCTAAAAGCCCGTGGGAAGCTATTTCGACTATCCCCATCTTCGTACGACTTTAATTGGACCAGATATTAATTAAAAACTCTGAAAACATTAATTTTCACACTCATTTTTCCGAGTGGCAACAGTCTCGCGCGTTGGACATCAAAATGCTTTATTTCGAAATGTGTTGCTACTGCTCGCTTTCAAATCGTAGAGTTTGTTAATCAAAAATTTGTAAGTTGTACAGATTCTATATATATAAAAAAGAATGTCTGTTTGTGTTTTTGTTTGTTCGCGTTACTCACTTCTGATCAATTATGATCCATTTTTTGCCACATTTAATCGACTAAAATTGAATATAGGTGAAATATTGGATGGAACTTGAGCGCTGTGCAAAAAGAAAAAAAGAAAGGACCGTTCAATATCTCCCATTCTACTGGGCGGATTGACGAAATTAAAAAATTGCGTTTTTCATGTCTCGAAAGCGCGACAGGGTATGTATTAGATTTATATTTAGCATCATTGTATTGTAGGTATTTAGACACGAAATCGGACTTTTTCGGAAATAACGTGACAACATTTTTTCATATTTCAATTCTACGACTCAGATTATGCCGAAATACTAAATTTTGCAAACTTTGGTGCGAAATCTACGCAGAAATTCAAAAATTTATTATGGCGCAATTTTTTTTTTTTTTTTCAGTTTGCGTTAAGAATAATTCACTTGGCGAACTTCTTAATTTACAGCAACCTATTTTCTTGCGAGCGGAAAAAAGTCATCGTTCATACTTTCAGATAATTTTAATAAAGTGCGTAAACCACATTTGGCGTTATTATCACTTATAACGAACATGCCAAATTTCAAAACGCGGCAATATGTATATTGATGTGCATTTTAGAAAATATTGAATAAAAAACTCTAATTTTTTGGAAGTATGCCTAGAAATACATCTACTTTAACATGATGTTAAAAATTTTATATGCTATAAAACAATAATGTTATAAAAACTATTTAAAAATATAAATTTTAAAAATAAATCATAAAAAATGTGCGAATTATATTTGGATTAAGACTAAATTTCGAATTCTGGAAGAAGGAATCAAGTAAGTTTAATAAAAAAAAGAGATGTTAACAAATATATATCAAATTCAATTAACATTGAGGAGTTAAAATTTTGAGAGCTAATTTTTGAAAAACTACTCCCGCGATATTTACAAAACTTGACAGGTTGACATAATTTGAGTCGTAGACTCGAAATATGGAAAGAAATTGCCATGTCATTTCGGGAAAAGTCGGATTTTGTGTCAAAACACCTATATTAGAACAGTGTTAAATACAAATCTAATACATATCGTGCTTTTGAGACATGAAAAACGTTAGTTTAATTTCGTCAGTCGGCCCAGTAGAACGGGAGATATAGAACTTCCCTCCTCTTTTTTCCCCCGCAGTGTACATGTGTTTATGCTTTTTCGCACATAAGATTGTAGAGCCATTAGTTTTTTTTTTTTTTTTTTTTTTTTTTTCATGCTCAAAACGTGAAGAATGTGCAATGTTCTTGGACCTCTCGAATATGCGCCGTGTGTGCTGCCGTTACACCACAAAGGCATGCTGGAAGGAGGACTGTAAATGCATGGGAACTGTAAAAGTGTTTTGCACCATCTCTGTTCTCCCGACAAGCTATACAGTATAGTTAAAGAAGTCAGCAGACTACACGCACATTAAATAGCTATGATATTCAAAGAAAATAAACCACTTGATAGTGTAGCCAAGGTGTTCAAACTGCCTTTACATTGGTTAACATTGGATGGAACTTGAGCGCTGTGCAAAAAGAAAAAAAAAAAAAGGACAGTTCAATATCTCCCATTCTACTGGGCGGATTGACGAAATTAAAAAATTGCGTTTTTCATGTCTCGAAAGCGCGACAGGGTATGTATTAGATTTATATTTAGCATCATTGTATTGTAGGTATTTAGACACGAAATCGGACTTTTTTAGAAATAACGTGACAACATTTTTTCATATTTCAATTCTACGACTCAAATTATGCCGAAATACTAAATTTTGCAAACTTTGGTGCGAAATCTACGCAGAATTGATAGAAAATTCAGTTTGATTTTTAATATTTTCGTGTCCAACCACACAGCTGTACTTTATTTACAGTGGTATACCTTT